CAAAGAGACCACCATCCAATATACACTCTCAGAGTGTTGGGGGGAGAAATGTTGTACTGCGAATGGGGGAGTGAATGGGGGAGGTCACAGTCGAGAGAGAGCTGTTGAGGGAATGTGAGCGAATGCGTGGATGGAAGTGCTGGTGAGAGGGGTGGGTGTATAACGAGAAACGGCGACCGATCTGAGTGTGAAGAAAGGGAGGGTGTTTGGGAGGTGGGATCGAGAGTCAACTGTCTTAAAATATAAGTTTCTAAGTGTCTAGTTTTAACAAGAGGTGATGTTGATGTTGCAAATCTATTAAGGGATATTTTTATGTAATTGCTTCAAGAGGCAACGTAGTGAAGTTCCACCTGCCCAGGTATGGCAGAAGTGCAGTCGTTTTTTTATTAAGTCTTCTACTCCGCCAGTGAGATAATTGTTCAATTTTTGAAATTCCAAGAGAGATATTAAGTGATAAAGGACGCAAATCTATGATTTTTTTTTCTGAATTATTTACATTAATTGTTCGAAAGAATACTCTAAATAGATAACATAAAACTTTGAAGTTTAAGCCATGATAATGTTTGCCACCATCATTTCAGCTTGGTCATAAAGAAGGGAGTGTGAACTCACAAGAAATAAAACAAAAATGCTGCACAGCCGTTTCCTGTATTTGAAAGAGATGAGGTCGATCCTGAAACCAAAGAGACAGGGGAGGAAATAAGAACATAAGAACATAAGAACAAAAGAACATAAGAATAGAGGACACTGCAACATGCCTACTGGCACACACGAGGCAGCTCCATTTTTTAATTGTATTTTCAGCATGTCTAACCTATTCTATTCTACTCTACTTATTTATTCTATTTTTCTTTTTATGATTTTTCTAATAAGCACTAACCTATTCATACCCACCCTACCTCTGTCATATGTCTATCTAATCTACATTTGAAGGTGTCTAAGGTATTGGCATTTACTATCATACTAGGAAGCTTGTTCCATGCATCATCTACTCTATTACCAAACCAATTTTTACCAATTTCCCTTCTGAACCTAAATTTATCAAGCTTAAATCCATTATTACGAGTTCTGGTTTGATCATGAATTTTTAAAACTTGGTTAATATCTCCCTTGCTAATACCTTTAAACCATTTATACACTTCAATCATATCCCCCCTAACTCTTCGCCTCTCTAGAGAATGCAGATTAAGTTTTTTTAATCTGTCCTCATATGGTAGATTTCTGATATTGTGTATCATCTTGGTCATTCTTCGCTGCACTCTCTCCAAGGATTCAATTTCCAGTCTATAATAGGGTGACCAGAATTGCACAGCATAATCTAAATGGGGCCTAACTAATGCAAGATAGAGCTGCAAAATAACTTTTTCCGTCCTATTGCTGACGCTTCTTGAGATAAATCCTAAAATTCTGTTTGCTTTATTTCTGACTGCTGTGCATTGCTCTCTTGGCTTAAGACTACTACTCACAAGAACTCCCAAATCCCTTTCACACTGAGAACTCATGATTTCATGGTTATTTAGCTTATAACTAGTATTGTCTTTTATAGTACCCATTTTAACTACTTTACATTTTTCAACATTAAATTCCATTTGCCATTTGTCCGACCATTCAGATAATCTATTCAGATCTTCCTGTAAAGCATGAATGTCTTCTTTTCCATTTATAGTTCTACCTATTTTAGTGTCGTCTGCGAATTTACTTAGGTTACTACTGATATCCGAATCCAGATCATTTAGATATACGATGAATAATAGGGGACCCAGTACCGAGCCTTGTGGTACCCCGCTAGTAACCGAGCCCCACTCCGATTTCTCTCCATTTATGCAAACCCTCTGTTTTCTGTCTTTTAACAATTGTTTGATCCATCTGAGCACAGCTCCTCCTATACCATGAGCTTCCAGCTTTTTAACTAATCTTTTGTGAGGAACTCTATCAAAAACTTTGCTAAAATCTAGATATATTGTATCATATTCTTTGCCACAATCTACTGCCTCGTAAACTTCTGAATAAAAAGACAGTAAGTTTGTAAGGCACGAAAAACCCTTAAGAAACCCGTGTTGTGAAAGTTTTATCAGTCTGTGTAATTCTAGATGTGCCCTTATTTTATTTGCAATTATGGATTCTAGAATCTTACCCACTGTTGACGTTAAACTTACCGGCCTATAATTATTCTTTTTAACACGTTCTCCTTTTTTAAATATTGGTACCACATCTGCCAATTTCCACTCCATGGGTACCGATCCTAATTTTATTGAATTATTAAATAATGCAGTTAGAGGACAACTAAGCTCTTCCTTGCATTCCTTTAATATTCTAGCATATATTCCATCAGGTCCCGGAGATTTATGAGCCTTTAATTTATCTATTTCTTTTATTACCTCCTCTCTCGTAATATTTATTGAACTAAGTATATTATCGGGACTGTCTCTGTAAATGGATTCTACTTCCGAAAAACCCTTAAGAAACCCGTGTTGTGAAAGTTTTATCAGTCTGTGTAATTCTAGATGTGCCCTTATTTTATTTGCAATTATGGATTCTAGAATCTTACCCACTGTTGACGTTAAACTTACCGGCCTATAATTATTCTTTTTAACACGTTCTCCTTTTTTAAATATTGGTACCACATCTGCCAATTTCCACTCCATGGGTACCGATCCTAATTTTATTGAATTATTAAATAATGCAGTTAGAGGACAACTAAGCTCTTCCTTGCATTCCTTTAATATTCTAGCATATATTCCATCAGGTCCCGGAGATTTATGAGCCTTTAATTTATCTATTTCTTTTATTACCTCCTCTCTCGTAATATTTAGTGAACTAAGTATATTATCGGGACTGTCTCTGTAAATGAATTCTACTTCCGGAATATTTTCCAAGTTTTCATTGGTAAATACAGATAAGAAATAATCATTTAAACATGTACACATCACTTTATCGTCATCTGTGATATGGCCATTGGCTACTTCAATTGGTCCGACTTTTTCCTTAAATTTTGTTTGATAATGTTGATAAAACCCTTTAGGATTTTCTTTAGCTTCTCCTGCTATTCTAACTTCGTATTTTCTTTTCGACTCTCTAACTATATTTTTAACTTCCCTGTTTAACTGTATATATTGCTGCCTCACCTGCTCTTCACCTCGTTTAGTTCCTGGGTTTGGGTTTAGTTCCTGGGTTCATCCAGTGAGGACGTGCTTCCAGTAGCTCTAATCTTGACCATACTTAGTACAATGGAGAGTGGTGGTGTTCTTTGTGCTGGTGGTGTTAGTGGTAGTGGTGTTGGTGGTGGTGACGTTGTTGGTGCTGTTTGTGGCTGTGCTGGGGATTTGTCCTCGTCTGACGCAAGAAAACTCATTTATAATTTAAGAAATGAGTTGGCCGCAGTCAGGCAGGAGGTCAGATCCTTAGCTGAGGAGAACAGGGATCTGAGAGGTAAAGTAGAGGTGTTAACCAGGAAGGGACGATTGAATAATGAAGACGACTGGAAAGTTGTGAATAAGGGTTCAACGAAGATGGTTCTTAAGAAAAATGATACTTTTAGACTACAGGTTTAGTTCACTTAGAGATGAATGTGACAGTGGCGGCAGTAATTCTTCAGGAACCATAGAGTCAGATAGGTGTACTAACGATCATAAAAATGGAAGTGGGAAAAGCTCTCAGGTCAAGAGCCTAGGTAAGTCTCCCAAGGTTGGAGTAACCCATCCTCCGGATAAGTCTCGTTCTTTGGTAATTGTAGGGGATTCACTATGCAGATATGTAGACAGGAAACTCAGGCATAGAGTTAGAGGAAAATATTTTTTTCCCTGGAGCAGGTATGAAGAAGGTGGGTGAGTCAATAAATAGCTGGATTGAGAAAAAAGATGTTGTTTGTTTGATAGCTGGGGGAAATGACGTGCAGGATGGTAGAAGTGAAGAGCTGATTAGGCTGTATAGACAAGCCCTGGATAAGATTAGGAAAAGGGGTGCAGTTCCTGTGATGTGTGGTATTCTCCCTAGGCTTAGCCAAAGTTCAGAGTGGTGGTCTCGAGCTATAGGAGTAAATGCTAGGATGAAAGTCTTCTGTCGGGAGCATAATATAGGTTTTATAGACGGGTGGGATCACTTCACTAGTCGTAAGCATATGTATGCAAGGGATGGAGTGCATCTTTCTAATTCAGGTGTCTCGGTATTGGCTGGTATGATAGACAGAGAGGTAGGGGGGTTTTGTTAGACACAAAAAATGAAATGATTAATACTTGTGCAGAGAAATTAGTCAGTAAGGGTTCAGTAAATAGTGGGTCAAATAAATGGGAGTCTAAGGATAAGAACCATTTGTTACATAGAACAAATATTAACAAAAAGAATAGCCACAAGAAGGGTGAAGCTAGAGAAAGTTTAAAAGTATATTATACAAATAGCCGTAGTTTAGGTAACAAGATAGAAGAACTGAGAGCCATAGTATGTAGTGAGAGACCGGATATAATATGCATTAGTGAAAGTTGGATTAAATTAGAAAGCAAACACCTTAAAGCTGAGTACATAATTACAGGATATAAACTTTATAATGCTGATCGTAGTGCAGATAAAAGAGGGGGAGGGGTAATTATGTATATTAAAGATAGCCTCAGAAGCTGCATTAAGTCTGGAATTAAGACAAATCTAAATTCAGAAACTTTATGGGTTGAAATTAAAAATAATATAGAAAGTCTAGTTGTAGGAGTAGTCTACAGACGACCTGATCTAGATAATATAGAGTCGCAAGTTATATACGATGAAATTTCTAAAGTGACCAGGTCAAATAGAGTTTGCATTGTAGGTGATTTTAATTTTAGACATATTAACTGTGTTATGTATAACTTTTGAGCTGATTAATTCGTGCGCTTTGCATTGGGCTATTGTTTTGTTGTTTTCACTGGAGTAGAACACGCCATGTCGGACATTTAAGTTTGAGTAATAAAACCTCCACTTTTTCTCATGATTTTTATTGAATTATCATCACCCATCTAACCATAGTATGGAACAAATGGCGACGAGGATGGGATACGAACCCACGCAGGGAAACCCTATTGGATTAGCAATCCAATGCCTTAACCGGTTTAAGAATTTAACATACAAATTTATGTGGCAAGAATCTAATGAAACAAGTTGGTATTTATTTAGCAGGATTAGATGGAAGTACCAAGGTTAACAATGTTCATAATGTAAGTGTTAAACAAGTGTTTGAAGATTATAATGTTTTTCTAAGCAATTCAATGGTAACACTTGAAGTCATTGAACTAGTAACTTGAACATCTACAATCTTTACAGTTTTCCTACTATTAAACTTAGGTTTACTACTAAAATCTTTCTTGCTTGGTTTATTTTAACCTTTAGCTGTACTATAACCACTCTCTCTTTTGGCTTCTTTACAAACCTTCTGTAAATGACCCTTTTTATGACAATTATAACATGATAAATGCTTAAATCTACAATAAAAGCTGTCATGAGAGGAACCACAATGTTGACAAGATAAACCTACATATTTTCTTCTTACAACCTGAACCTGTGACTGAACCTCATCTTTCTCACTTACAAATGCTTTTTCCATGTTCAAAATTCTCTCCAAAATAGCCTGAGAGGTCATTGCTTGGAGATCTATGTTGAGAGCCACTAAATTTGAAAAATAAACTTCAGCATCTACAGCCATAAATAACTGATCTCTTACTCTACCATCAAATTGGTTGCCAAAATTACAATGCTTTGCCAGAGCCTTTAAATCAGCATACAATTCTTTTACACTCTCATCCTTCCTTTTTTTTCTTTGCTGGAAGGCTAGCAAACTTCTGTGATAAGAAGGCTTAACAATAAAATGACCTTTCAATAACTGAACCAAGTCTGCATTGGACTTTGTGTGGGGCAAATCAGGAGCACAAAGAGTACAACTTCAAGAGACAGAAAATGAGAGAGATCTAGGAGTAAACATACTGGCAGATTTGTCTCCAGAAATGCATTTAAATGTCTTAAGCAAGATTTTGTAGACTCTAAAGTGTTAGAAAATTTTGATGGGTCATATCCCTTGATTATAGAATCTGTTTCTCATAGTGAATGGGCTGCGCCTATTGTACCTGTGTTAAAAGAGAATAAGAAAGAAATTCGCATATGTGCAGATTTTAAGCATTTGAATAAGCAAGTACAATGTGATAAATACCCCCTTGCCTAAGATTGATGAACTTTTGTGCAGTGTTGGCAAAGGCAAATTTTTTTCTAAGATTGATTTGAAGAATGCATATTTGCAAATACCTGTTGAAGAACAAAGCCAAGAGTTTTTAGTTATTAATACACACAAAGGAATGTATAAATACAAGAGGTTGCCCTTTGGCTTGTCCTCTTCTCCTGGTATTTTTCAAAGATTTATTTCACAGATCTTATGTAATATTGATGGTGTTGCTGCATATATGGATTGAGATAGCATTAACTACCTCCTCGCTTAGCCAATTCCAATTATCAACTACTCTTACACTGAAAAAGTATTTCCTTACATCCTGCGAAGAAGCTTTCTTACGAAGCTTCAAACTATGACCTCTAGTTCTAGAGCCAGCCATATCAAAATATCGATCCCTATCCACTCTATCATAACCATGAAGGAATTTAAAGACTGTCACCATATCCCCCCTCACTCTTCTAGCTTCGAGTGATGGTAAGTCTAATTCCCTCAGCCTCTCATCATAACTGAGATTGCGTATTTCTGGCACCAGTTTCGTGGCATGTCTTTGAACTTTTTCAAGCTTAGCTATGTGCTTTTTCAAGTGCGGATTCCAAAAAGGGGCTGCATATTCGAGTTTTGGCCTCACATAGGTTACATAAATATTTCTGAACATTTCCTTGTCCATGTGCCTGAAGGCTACCCTTACATTTGATAAGAATACATATGCTGTCCTTACTATGCCCTTTATATGTATTTCTGGAGACAAATCTGCCAGTATGTTTACTCCTAGATCTCTCTCATTTTCTGTCTCTTGAAGTTGTACTCTTTGTGCTCCTGATTTGCCCCACACAAAGTCCTATGCAGACTTGGTTCAGTTATTGAAAGGTCATTTTATTGTTAAGCCTTCTTATCACAGAAGTTTGCTAGCCTTCCAGCAAAGAAAAAAAAAGGAAGGATGAGAGTGTAAAAGAATTGTATGCTGATTTAAAGGCTCTGGCAAAGCATTGTAATTTTGGCAACCAATTTGATGGTAGAGTAAGAGATCAGTTATTTATGGCTGTAGATGCTGAAGTTTATTTTTCAAATTTAGTGGCTCTCAACATAGATCTCCAAGCAATGACCTCTCAGGCTATTTTGGAGAGAATTTTGAACATGGAAAAAGCATTTGTAAGTGAGAAAGATGAGGTTCAGTCACAGGTTCAGGTTGTAAGAAGAAAATATGTAGGTTTATCTTGTCAACATTGTGGTTCCTCTCATGACAGCTTTTATTGTAGATTTAAGCATTTATCATGTTATAATTGTCATAGAAAGGGTCATTTACAGAAGGTTTGTAAAGAAGCCAAAAGAGAGAGTGGTTATAGTACAGCTAAAGGTTAAAATAAACCAAGCAAGAAAGATTTTAGTAGTAAACCTAAGTTTAATAGTAGGAAAACTGTAAAGATTGTAGATGTTCAAGTTACTAGTTCAATGACTTCAAGTGTTACCATTGAATTGCTTAGAAAAACATTTTCTAATTTTGGTATTCCAGACATTGTTGTCTCGGATAATGCTCCATATTTTGTGTCCGAGGAAATTAAAGTTTTTTATAAGAAAAATGGTATTCAACATTTAACTCCTGCCCCATACAATCCATCATCTAATGGGTTGGCGGAAAGAGCAGTTCGAACTTTAAAAGAGGGCTTAAGTAAATTCAACAGTGGATCATTGAATACTAGAATCTGTAGATTTTTGTACAATTATAGAAAGAGTATGCATAGTGGTATAGGTAAATCACCAGCAGAGTTACTATTTGGAAGATGTTTTAAAACAACTTTAGTATCTGTAAAATGTTCCCCTAACAAAGACAGAGACCTGGAAAAATTGTCAAAGAAAGTTTTCTCTGAAGAGACAAATATGTACAATGTTGGTGATGCAGTTTTTGCTAAAAATTATGGGAAAGGAGAGACTTGGATTGAAGGTAAAATTATTGAAGTGCTTGGTGTAAGAAATTATTTGGTGCAAGTTCATGATTTTGGTAATATAACATGGAAGAGGCATCATGATCAGCTTATGCCTAGATTTACTGGTACTTGTATTAAGACACCTAGAGAGTCTCCAATGCCTTTAGGTTCTTCGAATGTAAGTAATTATTCCTATGCCTCTAGTTCCACTAATGATGTTGAAGTATCTTCACAAAAGTGTGATGTTTCAGTTCAACCTGATAGTAATTGTATTGAGTCTGAAGACACAGTCTCAGAAACTGAAAGGTGTGGTGTGAATGATAAACAGATTGTATCACCATCTCCAGTATTACGGAGATCAAAGAGAATTATTAAGCCACCAGAAAAATTAAATTTTGTATGTCTTTTCTTGGAGGGAGGAATGTTATGTATAACTTTTGAGCTGCTTAATTCGTGCGCTTTGCATTGCGCTATTGTTTTGTTGTTTTCACTGGAGTAGAACACGCCATGTCGGACATCTAAGTTTGAGTAATAAAACCTCCACTTTTTCTCATGATTTTTATTGAATTATCATCACCCATCTAACCATAGTATGGAACAAACTGGGAAACCATAACAGGTGATAGTAGCTCTAAGGAGTTTTTGGAAGTAGTAGAAGACAATTTCCTCTCTCAACATGTACATGAAGCAACACGGGGGGTGAATACACTAGATTTAGTTCTTAGTAATAGAGAGAATATGGTTACAAATTTAGAAGTTGGTGAAAAATTGGGCAACAGTGACCATGATTCCATTAGATTTAACATAATTTTCAAGGAAACTATAAAGGAAAATAAGAATATTGTTCCAAACTTTAGAGCAGGAGATTTTGAGGGCTTAAAAACTAAATTATCTAATGAGGTATGGGAAGGGATTTCTGGGGTACAGATGTGGGTAGTTAATCCAGCAGGTCAGGTCGCAGGTAGCGGATTACCCCAAAATTTGAGTACCACATGCCAAGGATTATCACAAGATAAGATCAATACATTAAATTCTCTCACAGGAAAAAACAGCACTCCTTCAGTTAATATAAATTTGGATGAGGAATATAACAATTTTGTCATGACTCTTAAGAATAGTCAGAGAGACTATATTCCCATGAAACATTGCAGATCAAGAAAAAATGACCCTAAATGGATGAACAATAGAATAAAGAATCTTATAGGTATTAAAAGAGGAATATACAGGAAACTAAAAAGAGGTGAAGAGCAGGTGAGGCAGCAATATATACAGTTAAACAGGGAAGTTAAAAAGATAGTTAGAGAGTCGAAAAGAAAATACGAAGTTAGAATAGCAGGAGAAGCTAAAGAAAATCCTAAAGGGTTTTATCAACATTATCAAACAAAATTTAAGGAAAAAGTCGGACCAATTGAAGTAGCCAATGGCCATATCACAGATGACGATAAAGTGATGTGTACATGTTTAAATGATTATTTCTTATCTGTATTTACAAATGAAAACTTGGAAAATATTCCGGAAGTAGAATCCATTTACAGAGACAGTCCCGATAATATACTTAGTTCAATAAATATTACGAGAGAGGAGGTAATAAAAGAAATAGATAAATTAAAGGCTCATAAATCTCCGGGACCTGATGGAATATATGCTAGAATATTAAAGGAATGCAAGGAAGAGCTTAGTTGTCCTCTAACTGCATTATTTAATAATTCAATAAAATTAGGATCGGTACCCATGGAGTGGAAATTGGCAGATGTGGTACCAATATTTAAAAAAGGAGAACGTGTTAAAAAGAATAATTATAGGCCGGTAAGTTTAACGTCAACAGTGGGTAAGATTCTAGAATCCATAATTGCAAATAAAATAAGGGCACATCTAGAATTACACAGACTGATAAAACTTTCACAACACGGGTTTCTTAAGGGTTTTTCGTGCCTTACAAACTTACTGTCTTTTTATTCAGAAGTTTACGAGGCAGTAGATTGTGGCAAA